TAGGCGATTTCAAGAAAGAATTGAAAAGTCTAAAATTTATAGGTAGCAGCAAATACTGTAGTTGTTTAAAGTGAGAAACACCGCAAAGCTTGACATTAACCTGGGCCAACTATACTCAATTCCAGCACGAGGCCAATTACACCCTACGTTTAATGCCTGAAATATGTTGAGAGGTCCACACTCTTAAGTTTGTTGCCATTGTGCATTTCTTATACCCGTATGGGAGAACCGGAGAACAGGAAATAAAAGAGGTTTTGAAGCTCCTAAGAAGTAACCTTACCTCCCATGGAAAAAAACGACCAGACCAAAAATCAAAATTGCATCCAATTAGATTTTTCAGTGGCGGTTTGTCAGTTTGCTTTATTTTACAACTTTTTCCATTCTAATCAGAATGATATCTGCTCACCTCCGTAATAATATCTCGAGGATATGTATTCTCATAGGTCTGGCAGAGATTTAGAATTGTGCCGCCGGTTTGCAAAGCAATTTGTGCGTAGACGGAAGCGTTCGCATACGGTATACACAAGCTGTTCATTTGATATGGAGCCGTAATGATTACGTTGATTTGTAGCTGACGTTCAATAGCTGCGAGGCTAAAAGAGGATCTCTTAATGGATGCAGATGTTTGGAAAAGAAAAGATAAAAGACAGAAATTTACACTCACACAATGTTTGGGATATTCGAATGTGTCGTGGAATCTGTGGGAGATGCATCAGTGAAGAGGAAAATTGAGGATTTATCGTATGAGGTGCTATGAATTGTCTGCCAGAGTGCATCCATTGAAGGTTGCGTGATGGATTGAGAGTATCTGAAGCAAATATAATTTTCGAAATGCGTTTTTTAAAGGACACAAAACTGAGGGTAACGATAATAAGGGTTTTTGTGCAGTTATATACAAGGTAATTGCCTGATCAATCAGCAAAGATCAATATACATCAATTAACTTTTAACTTACTGATACATGATGGCTGCTGAAGTGGTGGCATTCAAAAATGCTGTAACTGATGTGTATGGGGTCACCAAGACCTGAGGATGTGGTTCATCTAAATAGACGAATATAACCTTCGAAAGGAAGAAAACAAAGGTAAAATTTTCAGACAAAAACTTACTATCTAATGTAATAGTGTTAAAAGTAGACACAATATATTCATCGAATGCATCTGCTTGTCCCATAAATTTCAAAAGCGCATTCAGGCCGGAGTTGATGCGACTGTTGAGCTGAAAAGAGTAAAGCCTTAGTAAGTAAAATATTAAAAGTAAAAGTGATGATATGCTTTAAGATAAATAGTTTCATTGACGGATTTCCGGTAAAACCATTGCTTGAGTGATTTAAGACCGCATTTACACATAGATTCATGGAAAAAAGTTTTTTGATTTATCTCAACGTTAATAAGCGACTCTATGGTATTAGCATTATGTTGCCGTATATGGCACAAAAATTCAGTTATCCTGAATCTGTCGGAATTGGACAAATTTTGCAAAAATAAAAGCTCCCAAAAACTGGAGCCTCAATTTCAATTTGCGTGGTACATCAAAAACTATAGCAGTATTTTTCGTTCAGCGTAATATACACTGGCTATTCAGAATTCTAGC